TATTTCTGTGGCACTGTGAATAAAACCCCTTTGTAGCACCTTTTTAAAGAGTGTATAATTTAACATCAGCCTGCTTAAAATCTTGAGGGGTACTTAAGGCAAATAACTAAGGTCAAAAGGGGTACAGCTGACACAAAATCTGAGAACCAAACCCCTGCTTTATAAACCTAGATACTGCAGTTTCCTGCACATTTTAGAGCACACTTTGTATTTAGTTGTTGAATTTAACATTTTGGAAAAAAACACACCTTTAAACCACTTAGAAACCAGAACAACAGAACATGTAATTTGACTGGGGGCACTTAAACTTTTGCATACGGCCATATAGGCTTAGACTGGAAAGTGTAGTTAAGACTGATGTAAAGACTTTCAAATATGTCTGCAGTAGGAGTTCCCCGATGTGCCAAAATGAAATGTATTACTTCTCTATTATTCTATTGCTGTACCTTTAATAGTAGCAGCTCAGGCAGATGATAGGAGTGTCATAAATGATATGAACATCAGTGAAGAGCAGATTAAACAGCATAAGCTTTTGTTCAAATTTAAAGGGTTAATATATACATCTGGTTCAGTTTCTCTGTCCTCTCCTGAATATTTATTGTAATGTCTATGCTGTGTTTCGATTCCATTAATATTAAATTATGTATACTTTTGAAATAATAGACACATTTGCTGTGGCTCTTGATGAAAAAGTATTCAAATTACAATCTCAGTGTTCTCAGTGTTAGTTTCTGCTTTATGGCTGAAGTCTTGACTAAACGTCATTCAGTAAATCAACCCGCCTGCCTAGTCAGAGTTGAAGGCTCTTAAACTTTAGCTAACTTCGTTTCTACAGTGTGGTGCATTACACTGTGATTTTACAGCACTGCTGCCACCATCAGGTGAAAGGAAAAACTGCAACGAACTGGCAGACAGGCCATTCATAACACACTCTAAAACAGAAGCCAAGGGCCGATTAAAATGTGTCCACAGGCTGCATTTGGCCTTTGGGATGGACTTTGGACACCTCTCTGCTCAATCCTCTTGTTTGATGAGGACCACCCCAAAAATGCATTCCCACCAGCAGTGAACTGAAACAGTTTATTTGGGAGTGTAGTACAGGTGGAGTGTTCACACCTGTTAAAACGAGTTGAACTAAAGAAAAAGTTTGATAGGTCTGCAGCAAACGAGGTGTGAAAGCAGAGTCAAAGATCTGAACCTTAATCATGCATTTCCAAGCCTCCACCTCCAGTCCAGTAGTCCTGCTGCCCTACACAGTGCGGTGTTTTCCTGCTCTTACCCTGCTGGTTCAGGTCCAGATAGACTTCATGATTGGCTGATGATGTGGCTCAGGTGCAGAAAAAGAAACTGTTCAGTGCAGAACTGGAGCTGGGAAACACTGGAGAAAAGATGAACTTCAATGTAGCATATTTAGAAAAATGAGAGTATGAGGACAAAGAGCTGTTTTCCTGGGAGACTATCCATTAAAACTGATAGAGATTTCTCTAATGGACTGTATGTTGATCATCAGGTTGGAGTCTCCCCTTTACTTAATGTAGGAATAAGATGCGTCACAGGTTTTCCTCTGGACTATATGTATCTGGTGTGTCTTGGAGTAAAAAAAACTGCTGTGCTTTTTAAAACAAGGACCACCTGATTGTCAACTGTCACATACAAAAAGTAGGGAAGATTTCAGGTCTTTTCATGTCTTTGTCTGGGAAGCTGCCTAGTGAGTTTAGGCAATTCCTTCTACACACTGGACCTGTAGTTTTGAAAAAGTGCTGCACAGGAACGTATATAAACACTTTCCCTGCCTAACAGTGGCTGTTTCAATCCTTCTGGACTGCTGTGAGAGGAACATGCTGCTTACATGGACTTTGCTCAACAACTTTTAAACTATTGTGTAGACAAATGTAAACATATATACATAAAACATATATATGTTTTTCGTGTATGATGGTCATAGCTTGAAACATCTGTCAGACGACATAAGGACATTTCCAGTGTTCTCTTAGTGAAATATCTGCATTCCCTTTAAAAGAAATCTGCAAATTCTGAAAAAAATGCCAAGAATCCCATCAGTCAAGTTGCTAAGAGACTTTCTGAACATGAGAGGCAGAAAGCCGCATGAAGAAGACGGCAAACAAAAGTTGGCATTTTGTTTCAGTGAAGAAGAGAAATGGATGTTTCCTCTTGCAGAATGAAGACTTTGCCTTTGTAAAAGAAAAACAAGATGATGGCAGCTTGTTATGTGACATCATATCACAAAAAAAGCCTGTTTTTTTACTGTGCGGTGTGACTCCAAGCTTATTTACGTTGTGTATGTCAGAAACTTGGAGAGAGTCTGGAAACATCACAGGCTTCTTGAGGTTGAAGAAATAAACCATGTCTACCCTGTCAAACAGGATATGTGCTAATGCCTTTATTGCACAGCATGGAGTGAAAAGACTAAAGGAGTATTTACTAATTAGTCTGTAGTAATAATGCTACAGTCTAAACTGCATTTTGTTTTTCTCATTGAAGAACGTCTTTATGAAATATTTATTTTTGTCTCTACTGTGATTAACAAAAGTGTATATGCAACTTATTGGTTTTGATTCATTGCTGTAGAGGAACCATATGTAGCACTGGGCCACACTCAAACATGTAGGGGCACAGGGACATGTAATTTAGGCGTATTAGAGTATTTAACAACATTTACACTGTGGTGTTTGGAGTGAAAGTTTTAGTTTTTCTCCTTGTTCCCTCCTTGTTCAGGGTATGTTATTGTAGGGAGAAAGGTACACATACAGAGTGAAAATGATATAAATGAAAATTACTAGTATTTTTGCCTCACAGGGAAGCAGGACCCTATATATCACTGGTTGGTCAATTTTAGTGACCCCATGACCTTTACTCCAGTGCCACAATTGACTCAGTGGAGCATCTGCATCAGTAAAAAATCCTTTTAGTACATACATCAAAATGTGATTTTGTTGCCATATTTTGTTACCTATTCTCACAGACCATTGTTGTTATTGTTTTTTTGCCAGTGTTTCCATGGTGCTCACACAGACTTTGAGTGCTGGCCAGTGTATGTATCTCCAAGCTGTTTTGATTTTTATTTTATGGCAGCTGTTTTGATGTTATGATGATAGGCAACAGATGAGCCTTTTCATGGAAAACTATAATGACAATATTTCTTCATCAGTAACAGGGGGTGCAGAGTCTTTTAATGAATTTGATGAATTCGCGGCATGGACCAATTATCATCTGATGAAACATGAAGTTAACTTGGAGTTTTACATAAATTTATTTTTATTTATTTATTTTTAATTTCATGTTTTTTGTTTCAGGTTGGCCTCGGTGAGGGCAGTGTGGCAGGAGAATAAAAGGCCAGAAGAAGGGACGATGCCAGACAGCTGGGTAGACACAGAAAACATGTTAGTGTTCTGGCCAAATGTTGCAAATGCAACAAGACATTTGAATGAACGTCACAAACCAACTGATGGTTGGAGAAAGTTTCCTCTTCTGAAAGAGAAGATGAGATCTGGTAGGTACAGATACATGTTACATCTATTATGTGCACTTTTTCTTAGATAATTAACCTGACATACCTGTGTTATATACTGACAGTCTTTTTGCTTTGCCACCGTCTGTTTCAATTTTTGATTTACAGATGACTTCAAAGAATGTGACAACTGTGACTTTACAAGTAGTACAGAAGTTGAGTGAGGTGGAAGCAAAAAGATAAACTTAGAATAAAACTTAGAAGAAAAACTAAGAAATTTGAAGAATGTTTGACAGGTTTTCTTTTTACTTTGCAGTTGTCTATCTATCTATCTATCTGTCTATCTATCTATCTATCTATCTATCTATCTATCTTTTAGTTCTGTATCTATTTATCTATTAGGGTTTGGCGGTATGATGGTAATATGACACGGTATGTAAAAATGATTTTTCAGAATTATGATGTGTTAAATTTCTATTCCACATTTGAACAGATAAATAAACACATTCCATCCATTTATAGTTTAGATTTAGATAGTTAGCCAAAAACAAACTTGTTCTGTGGTGGGCAGAGCTGGAAGAACTAGCAAAGCTAATACTAACCAGCTCCTCTCCCCAATTCATCAATTGTTAGGTGGATGGTTGACATTTATTGAATAATGGCTAGAGAATTGTGCAGTGTGATTTTAGACAGTATCTTTCTTAAACTGCTGCTCCGTAATGATACTTAATGCAGTCCATCAGCGGTGTTGACTGCCCCAAAATGGCAGTATGTCTATTTATGAGATAAACAAACATGATACCATACTACAGTAAAACCATGGTAGAGACACCATAGTAACCACAGTTTTCCTTCAGCCAAAAATCCATGGATACTATGCTATTTGCTTCCCAAAGATCTCATCAAAACACCAAAGTCCTGATAGCTGCTGAGACTGGAGTTACACCAAAGTCCTTATAGGAAAATCTGTTCACTCGACTTCACTCCGTTCAGGTGCTTCCTCGTAGCTTTTTCTTTGCTGTATTAAAAAGCACAAAGATTCAATAGAAGCGAACCAGTTATATATATATATATATATTCATATTTACTGCTAGTTTAGGCAGAAAAACTGACTCTGCGCCCCTCAAACACAACTCGATTAACTCTCCTGACTGTCCACTCAGACTGGCCCAAAATGTAGACTAGAGCTGACCAGCACAGACATCCAGACTCAGAATCAGTATCTTTAAGTTTAATATCATTTTCCAAATATACATAAATATATGTAAATACTGAACATGTAGGCTGTATAGTACATAAGAGAACACATGAAGAGGTTACTTCCAAAATGCTGTATATCTGTTTATTAAAATTGTGGATATAACAGTTTTTTTAAAGAATAACGTTATTATTTCTCTAATAAAGGTGGTATTAATCATAATATGGCATTGACATTTATTGTATGTGTAAACCCACTTCCAACATGGCATATCATAAAAAAATGTTTAAAAAGTGGTGCATGTATATGTAAGTATGCAAACACAGGGCTCGCTCATTCGCTGTGAGTACAGTGATGTCGAGTGAAGCTCTCTTTGTGTGCAGGGCTGCGCTGTCTGTGCTCTCCATGGTGCTGATATCCACCTGGATCTTCAGCTACTCTCTTCAGACCAGAAGAGGAAACATAAGTACAGCATTTTATTATTGTTTTTGTTATTATTTTTTAATCATACAATGGCAATTATTATTATACCTTTTAATAAAAATTTCATATATTAAATTATTAAATACTAATATTTAATATTATTCTATTAAATTGTAGTCTTAGTAAAACATGTTAGAATAGAAAATTTATTGTAAATATTTAATTATTTAATGAGCATTATATCAAGTTATTACTATATATTATTATTATTAGTAGTAGTTAATTAATCATTACATTTCAAAATATAATGTAGACATTATTACATATATATATATATATATATATATATATATATATATATATATATATATATATATAATTAAATATTAATATTCCATCAACCTGGAGGAGTATACAGAATCAGTGACTGGCTACATCAGCAAGTGCATTGGTGATGTTACTGTCTCCAAACTCGTCACAACTCACCCCAACCAGAAACCTTGGATGACTGCAGAGGTGCGCATGCTACTGAGAACCCGTGACAAGGCTTTCAAGTCAAGGGACAGAGCAAGCCTCAGGATAGCAAGAGCCAAGCTTTCCCGGGCCATCGAAAAGCTCAGACTTTTCAGAGCCAAAGCTATTAAGTTTTGAGGTTGTCAGGAGGTCCTAGACTTCGACTCACCCAGGTGGTGTTCAGTTACCCATTTATTACTGAATAACATTGTTCTGATTTCTCCCACTGTTTTGACAGCTCTGTTAACATACAGTCTTCGCCACAATATCATGATATATAACTTTTTAGTTAACTAGCCATAGCTGACAGATGTAGCTGCTAGTAATGGTTAGCCGCTCTGTCAGTAAAGAGTAGTAGTTAAAGTAATGTCCTCCATTGTTTTCACTAGTCTCTCTTTCTATACACAGTGTGTAAAATATGCTTCTGAGATCTTTCATCAATGATGTCAGTTTTTGTTCACATAAAAAAGAAGAAACAGAACAGGCCTCTCTACTGGGGCATTTTTGACCATTTCTTAGTTAATTTCTTAAGCTTAAACACAAATTCAAAGCTGACTCAAAACTCCTCCCCATGCAGGATGTCACTGGGCGTTGGATCTGTGTCTACAAGGAAGATAATCATGGAGGACGCACAGGGTTGGGGACCGGACAAAACAAAATGCTTAATAACAATATTGACAGACTCTACTGTGCAAAACAAACTGTAGACGAAGAGGCTGAATGGATAAGCAGTAGGTAACTGGTTGCTGTGTAATGAGCAGATTTGCATATTCCGTCCCAAACAGCAATCGGATTTCAGTCTGAATAACCAGAGACGCATTTGACTAAATCATGTGGCTAAAATCTTATCAGGATACAGTTCAGATACTGGTAACATGAAGTGACCAGGTGCAAAGGGGGTCTGTGATAGAATATAATTAAGGATAATCTGAGTGTAACTGAGGGAGTTTCTGTGTTGAGAGTCTGGGTGATTTTTCATTTGCTGGAGCTCTTCTCTGCAGCTCACGGTGTGAAGCCTTTACACCCTGAAAAACACAGCAGAGAAAACATTCAAACACACACACACACACACACACACACACACACACACACACACACACACATAAAACCTGACACACACACACACTCAGTGTAGGTGGTACAGACTTACTGTCAGAGTGTCGTAATCAGAGCACATGGTTTCAGGGTTTAGGGCTGTGTATGTGTCACTGGGAGAGTCTGTAAGATGCTGGAAAATAAAAGATTAACATTAAAAAAGCTTCTAGAACTAAATACACTAAACAGGAGAACAATCACACTCACACATTAGACTTACTATGAGAGTGTCATAATCTGAGGTCATGGTGGTGGGATTCAGAGCTGTGTATGTGTGGTCTGCAGGATCTGGAGTCTTTTAGAGAAATGAGAACAACTTCAGTCTTTATTCAGTAGCAGCTTTACAGGAGTATGTAGACAGAGAAAGAGTGAAATCCTCTCTCAGTACCTGAATATCTGAGTCTCTCTCCGCTCCTCTCCTCCTCCTGCTCATATAGAACCTCCACAGAGCTGCTGTGATGAGTATCAGAGCCAGAAAGACCACCACTCCCACTGTGACCAACACTGAGCTCTCCTCTGGAACCAGAAGACCTTCAGAAATAAATCATGAGTTAAATTACTGCAGGAAAGATAAGAAATGTGAAAATGATTCTAATTCACTTTGACAGTGATCAATTTTCTAGTTATGTCACCAACACACTTTTATGTGTTTCTATAGATCGCAGTATTTCTTTAAGTTGATCATTTAATAAAATATTTTCTTTTTTTATCTTGTTATAAACAAAAACAAACACTGCAGCTGGTGAGATGGACACTCACCGCCTCTGAAACCAAATGAAATGTTGTTTCTGAATTATTCTGTATTTATTTCAGTATTATTTTTGTGTTTCTAGAAGGTTCCTCTTGTGAAAGATATTAAAAGAAATAGTAGATATTCATTTCTGCATACACAGACTGCAAGATAAAGTTTAATGTCTAGTGATCTGGACATTTTGACTTAGTGTTGTAAATTATGCTTTGATTAGTATAATAAACTTATGCATTACAAAGTGCACTTATTCAAGATGTTAGTTTATTTTGTTATACTCTAAGTATATTCGAATGTGTGGTTAGGAGTGACAGTAGATGATGATATTTGAATTTAGGGATAATATTGTTTTTTAGTGATTTCAGTGGATTTCACTGTCCAGTATGCTGGACACTGGACTTAGGCTAGTGACATTTTGAAAAATGAACATATTTATAATCATTGGGATAACAAACACAAACAAAAAACTTAACATTTCCTGTGTTTCAGCAAAGTTATTTCTGAGTGTAACACTGGGCAGTGAAATTTTAAGCTGCAGATATGTGACTTTCATAGGACCTGCTACAGTACTATTCATTTGTTCATTTTTACTGTATCTTTTAAAGAATACACTGAAATATATAAAGAATAAATGTCAAGGTGCTGAAATATGATCAAATTTGCATCATTTGCCTGTGATTTTAATGACATTTACAGGGTTCTTTGTAACACTGCAATGGACCTCAAGAGGTCAGTAATCTCAAAGTTTGGGATAATTAGTGAGATGAGTGTTTTACAGGACTTACAGTCACCGAGTGTTTGATCAGGAGAGCGGAGCTCCTCGTGTCCTCTCACAGCACAGGAGTAGTTTCCTGCATCTTCACTGCACTTTAGGTACAGCTTGTTGTCTCTAGTGAGTTTGTTAGATACAAGCTGTCCGTTCTTGTACCAGATGTAAGTGGGGTTGTTAGGCAGAGTGCATGTGCTACTACACATCAGTGTTACTGTCTGACCATCTGATGCTGTGCTGGAAATCACTCTCACCTGCAGAGCTGAATATGCAGAAAATAAATATTAAATAATCAAATAAACACATCAATCATGGATAAAAACAGTAAATAACTCATATTCAGCATTTACCTGTAACATTCAAGGTGATTCCAGGTTTACCAGAGAATTTCCCTTCTTTAGTTTTAGTGATGAATCGAAAGCGATATTCTCCAGAGTCATTCTTTCTCACATCTCTCATTCTCAGAGTGCAGTTTCTCAGTTGATCTCCAATAAACTCCACTCGACCAGCAAACTGCTCTTCCTGTCTCAGGTCCTTTAGCCCCTCCTCAGGTGAACAGTAATGCCAGAATGCCTCAGTAATTGACTGATTACTGGGATATGAGTAAGTGCAGTGGAAATCCACTGATGAACCCTTCAAAACACACACTCTTCTATCAGTGTACGTAACACTCCAACAGTTCTCACCAGAAACACCTGAAATGGTAAAAGTCCAATTAAACACAAACTCTTTGCAAATATCTTTTATTCTTGCAGCTTTTAAATGCCTGTAGCTCATTCACACTTGCTTACACCATCAGGAGTCATATATTATTGATTAATGACTTACGTTTCTATCTATACATCTGAGGACAGAGTCATGACTCTAATTATTCTCACAGTGCTTTATAGCATGTGATCAGGTTCAAGGTGTCCCTGATGTGAAATTCATACTCACATAGTGAAGGGGAAGGTATGCTGTTATAGCCAAAAACAGAGCAGGAGAAACTGCCTTCATCATCACTGGATAAAATAAGGGGACCACTGAAGTTTGTGGATTTTCTTGTATTCTGGCCATTCTTGAACCAGAAGTAAAGTGGATAAACAGAGGTCAGAGTGCAGGACGTGCCACAGTTCAGAGTGTTTGGTCTTTTTTGTGTCACCTGCAGGCCTGAATGGAGTTATAGTTATTAGTGTTTGATCACATAACAGACGAGTATGACTGAACATGCTCTACAGACTGGCTGCTTCATTACCTGTAACTGTTAGATTGACTGCAGTTGAGCTGAGATGTTTCTCTCCTTGTTCTGTGATGATCATGAGGTGATATTCTCCTGAGTCTCTCTCTCTCAGGTCTCTGATTGTAAGAGTTGAGCTGAAGCTTGTAATCTGAGTGTTCACTCGTCCTGTGTAGTCTGAGTCTAAAGCTAAATCCTCTGGATGTGTCTCATTCCTCCATTTGGCTTTCTGTTTAAAGCTGAACCAGAAGACAGTTTTGATGTTGATCTTTGAGTAAGAACATGTGAACTCCACCTTTGACTCCTGCAGAGCACAGAACTGAGTCCGAGGACCGCAGGACACCCCGAGGGTCTCAGTCAAACAATCTGAAACAGAGATTTATTAACAAAAATACTTAATTGCAAAAATCATTCTGCAGAACAGTTGCTACTGATGTTTTCCAAAACATTGATAAAATAACTAGTATCTTTATCAAACAAATCAATTAGACCAAATATAATTCATTTATTCTTTTATTCTTTCATTCATTTTTTTATTTATTATCATGATGAAAACTCCAGTATTTAACTCCAGCTCCAATTTAATCTCCAGTTGAGTTATGTATGAGATGAAAACGCGAGAGCACAGTGGCTCCCAGGGAAATGAAAGGTTTGGTAATGACCCACATCTAGAAGCTTCTAATCACACAAATGTGTATTGCTTGTTCTCCTACTGCAATGCTGTCAGACCTGATAAAAGCTGGCTTCTACATAAACAGCCAAGAAAGCCCAGTCAGTGGCATTTCTTAATGTTCTTGCTACATATCTTTTGTTTTGCATAGTAGGATCTTAACTTGCATTTGTAGATTGAGCAATCGACTGTGTTTACTGACAACAGTTTGTCAAAGTATTCCTGAGTCCATGTGGAGATATCCGTCACAGAAGCATGCTGGATTTAAATGGATTTTAATATTAATTTTGTCATCCTCCAGCTAATTTTACAGGCATACATTAAAACAATCATTTAAGTATTTTGTGGAAAAACAGTATATTGTAAAAGTACATGTCAGTATGGTTATTTCTTACTTTTTGATCATGGTAGCTGGTAGGACATGTGGTCTGTATAGACCCACTGAGCAACCACTTCCCTTCTCAATGAAGTATTTTTCATCTGTTTGGTCTTATCACTAATATGTGCAATATAAGCAATACACTTTAGCACACTCAGAGGAACACACAGACACACACAAACAGTATAAAACGCTCCCTGGATTTGGAAATTGCCCCAATATGTGTTTGTTTTCAGACTGGGAGTTACATGAAGCAGGCCAGCCCACTTCAAACTCTACTCAGACACACACACACACACACACACACACAGAGAGAGCATTGCTTTCATGCAAAATTAATTTTTCTAAAATCTGTGCATATTATTAGTTTCATTTCTTATTCATTTCATTTATTATTCATGTTCCACTGAGATAACCAAGGTGGCTAGTTAGTGAAATGAAATGAAAACTTGCAAAAGCTTTTATCCTAAATGTCTCCTAATCATGACGGTCAATATGCTACATACTACTGTTAGCACAATAAGTTAAGGTAAGGTTTTTATAGTTCTGCTGTTCATCTTCAAACGACTCACAAAAACTGCTACATTGCTGCCTGTTGCGTTAGCCAGTAACAGATTCACAACTGTGTTGATACACTAATCTCTCGAGGCTGATGTTAGCTTCTTATTCAAACTTCTGTTCCACCTTAAATAATGCAGCAGTTACTTGTTAGCACCCATACAGGCATCTATATGTAACTGCTACATCATTTAGGGTGGAACAGGAAATGAGACTAAGAAGCTAACTTCAGCTTCATCTAATCTCAATTCACAGCATGAGGGTCATTTACAATCAGCACTCGGCTGCACCACTTGAGGTGAGGGTCACTGGCTTAACTAACCCTAAATTACTACAGATATAAACTTAGATGTGACATTTATATTTTGTCTGGGCATTCTTGTGTTTATATGCATGAGTTTACACATTAACTCACAGTAACCATCCCAAAACGCTACCAGCCCACCGGGAATTCTCCCGACTCTCCCGATTACCCACTCTGGCTTTAGATACATTTCTTTACTATAGAGTTAAGATGGATGGATGCAAAGAATACACAGAAAGAAAACAAGCACATACAATTAAAGATATGAGATCCATCTATTGCTGTGATTTTAACCTGTAATTTTCTTTTGACTGTGCTTCAGTTGTTGCTGCTCTGCACCACAATTACAAAATGCTTTATAAAGCATTAGACAGTGCACAGCCTGTAGAGACCATGTGTACTCTGATCTAGAAACTCTGCTCAAGAATGCAAAAGTTTCATCTGAAAAGGTCAAGTGTAAATGTTGTGCTCATGGTGATTACATGTTAATACCAAGCATAAGCAGGGCTATAGAGATCTTACTACTATGAATAGTCTGTTATTGTGCAGTAGCGGTGAGAAATATAACAATATTATAACATTACTGTGATACGTTTATTATCATGACACAATGTGCACATATTTGAATGACATTAGTACTTAAAGAATGCTTAAACTGTATGTTTCATTAAAAAGACCACATAATTAGTTCTGTTAAACTGGATTAAGTGCAGTCCAGTACGTGAAATGTAGAATGTATATTGTTTTTGCTGCCTGTTTTTAAAGGTGGAACTACTATTGTATTGTGTCTTTTGCATAATATTGTGATACATATCGCATATCGTGAAAACTAGATTGCCAGATTGCCAATGATCATCATCAAATGGGCATAAAAATGTTTTTTTTATTTTATTTAGCTTACATTAAATTATGATGATATTCGCTGCCAGTTGGTCATTTATGAATGATATATGAAAATGAATGGAATAATGAGACCCTCTAGTTCAGCTGTTACAGCATTAATTCCTGTGCAGTAAATCTAGTTGGATCAGTTGTAGCTGATTCGAGTTGAATTTTGGATTATTACGTTTGCAGAGTGAAATTTGGTTGCTAGTATGTATCCAATATAGACATTTCTCACCCAGTGTTGAAACTCTACATGAATGTACACCCAAATTCCACCATGAGATCAATAAGTACACACACACACACACACACACATACACACACACACACACACACAGAGAACTTTAGCACACAAAAGCTCAATACAGATGGTTTGTCCACTAAAGAAAATGATGATTGAATAATGAGCTGTAGGTTATGTTTCAAACTCCTGGATTCTGCTAAAATACCAGCCTTTTACTCCACTATTTACACAATAAATACACATTGAATTGAATTCTAGTGCTGCTTTTTTGCTTATTGTAATTTTAATGGTCAGTATCTAAGTTAAGGTGGTGAATTCCTGCTTCACGCTATACAAAGAAATTCAGTAAAGACAGAATAATCCTACCTGAAACACACAGCAGGATGATGAGTGATAATAGTCCACATCTGGAGCTCATGATTCCACTTTCACTGTAAAATAAAGACACAGAATAATGTCTTTGTAACAGTATAACAATCAGACGCTCTGATTACTTTTCTTACTGAGGAAAATTGAAATGTTTCTTCATGGCTTCACATGTTCGTCATATCTACTATTATACCTTGATAGTAAAACTCACAATTAAAATAATGCAATTCTAAAACACATAGCGAGCAATTAAGATGAAAGTATTTATTACTTACCTTCTTCTGTAAAGGCCTTTGACAGCTGTCTGTGTGGAAACAGAAGGTGTGTGTGTGTGTGTGTGTGTGTGTGTGTGTGTGAGGGTGGTAGTGTTCAGTGTTTCAAGCAGTGTTTTTTGCTGATTCTTACAAATCATTTCCTTCCCTTTTTTGGGAACTCACAGTTCACATTAACAGCCATCAATAAGTTGCTTTATATGTGATGTCATATATTTAATATTGTGCATTAACAGACCCAAACTTTTGATTTTAGTAGAAATAAAGTGATGCTGATTAAACATGCAGTCTCTCTGAAGTGATACAGAACATATGTGTAAGTTTCTGTTTTCCACATAAACACATCACACATGTAAACCCAGTCACACCATCATTTCCTTTACACTGTGACCAGACAGTGAAAGTTATGGAAGCAAATCAATAGCAAAATGAAAATGAAAATGTAATATGAAAAATTGCAGTGTGTTCCTATGTGTGAGTTGAAATTCCTCTTCAATGGGGTCCAAAAGTCTGAGACTACAAGTGAAAATGGTTCTGTTTTGTATTCTTTTCTAATTTAAAACAATATTTTTCATTACAAATAATATAATTAGCATAACAATTTGAGTGAAAAGTAGAATCTTACCAAATTTAAAGGATGTATCTGAAACATGTCAAGTGATCTTAAGTTAGAAGATGGAGTGAAAGAGCAGTGGATGCTTACTATGTCCTTATACACGACCCACAAAGAATCTTTAATCAAACACATGCCCAATTTGTCTGCTTTAATAAGCGAGTCCATGTTAATCTACTGTAGTCTACAGATGCGGCAGATAGAGATTAGTTTAATCCAGCATAGAGGACTTTTTCTAATATACATAGTCAGTGTCTGATGTGGATATATTGCTGTGTTTAATCTTACCTGTCACCAAAAGATGACAGTACTGATTACAGTATTTAGTTGTAATTGTACTGTTACAAATATAAATATGTACATTACATAATCACCCAGTCATAGTAGCTGAGTTGGCAACACATTCTGCGACATATTTCATTGGAATTTAACTGGGGTCTGTAAATAAATGTCACATCATGGATCTGTCTTACACAGAGGTAATACTGACATGCTGCTTCATATTCTTGTGAAATTAAAAAGAGGATGCTGTGTGCCATGAGTGAGTCACGCCGTGTGACAGATATACCAAGTTACTGCTAATTTAGCACCTTAAACCAGCTTTCCAACTGCATAGCCACCAGTTAGCTAAGCATAAAGGAACTATTGTCAAATTCACACAGTACAAAAGTTACAAATACAAACATTTATATTACAAAAAATCACTGGCCTATGAGTGACACAGTGAGCTGGTTCACATTGGCCAGCTTGTAAAAACAATAGGGGAGTCTGTAGTTGCAAAGAGGAAAGACAGTGTTTCTCTTTCTATTTTGCAGTTTCAAATTCTTTATTAGAGAGTGCAAATCACAGGAAGCAGAACCATGCAGTTCTGGAAATATGTTTTCATTTAAATAAAGCTACTTTAAAGCATCTAAATCTTTGTGCAAATAAAGTTAAAATGGTATTGAAGTGAATATTTTCATTTTAAAACCTATATTTTCTGTATGAGTGGAACATTTTAGTGCAAACAAAAAAAATATAAACACAGTACCGTTTTACATATTACATTTTCATTTTAATTTTACTACTGATATGCTTCCATAAACGTCCATGTCCATTCTTATTATTCTTAAACTACAGAGAAACAGAAATGCAGTTTAAGATCTGACAAAGAACATCGAGCAGCAGGGGCACAGCCACAGGGGTCTACCCAGACTGATCAAAAGCCTACCCAATCAAATTTTTAAGATAATGAATTTTGATTTGTTTTCTGTGATTTGATTTGTCATCATTATATCATTGCACTCTCTGAAGGTTTAGTCCAATTGACTATTGACTTTAATCATGATTTGCTGAGATGAACGAGGTGTGAAAGAGCAGGAAAACACTCAAATGTGCAGTGGGGTCTCACTATAAGCTGATAATTTTGAGGGTCTTCTCTCATTTCAGTCTACTATTCAGCCAGAAGATTAAATTAGACTTTTCAGTGATCCTTTCCTCAAATTATCACTTCACATTAATGTTTGGTTACCGGTTGGTGTGAGAGAACCTGTTATAGAGGAAACAACAACAGATGGGATTGAAAAAAAGGGTCAGTTTGTTCAGGTGTTGACTAGGGATGGGCATCACAGTCAGATCTGATATTTGGCAAAAATATTTAAATAATACCCCCTTTCCCCTAAACAAATAAATAATCTATCAACAAATCAGTAAATAAATACAAAACTGGTTCTTCCTTCTTTGGACTAAAAAGAACAGGAGACTCTCACCATAACATAAGGTTCTGCACTGCTCTCTGGTGGGGCATACAGCTTATACATCTCATAGTTCTTCACTACGAGAATGTGCAATGTTTGAGAGAAGCTAATTTGCATAAAAAACTGGTTCACTATTTAGTTTTTACCCTTTCATGACTATTTGAATTAACAGAGAATTGGATCCATCCTTAGTTTGGACCCTCCACAGATGAACAAAACACAGGGTGAGTTCAGGTCACTCGGGACAATCTAAGTATGTTTATATCCTGATCTGATCTGTGTCATTTACAGTGCCACTAATGTTTCTTAGAGATCGTCTTATCCAAATCAAATGACTTCATTGCCGTAATGTTGTGAAGTTGTTAGTGGTGATGATCTCACAGGAAGGTGATCCATTCAACCACAAAGTAATGACATCAAATACATCTAAGAATACCAGCTACAATGCTTTATTTCTAGCAATTCAGTCCCTTTTAAGCTGCTTTTAATTGCAAACATAGCATGGTTTCAGCTATTTTGGGACAGTTTTAAAATCATGATTTATACTGAAAAACAGATCTGATATCATCACACTAGGAAAGGATAATGTATAATCTCAACATTTGGACCATAACAACAGAATTCCAGAAGGTCAGAATAACAAACATGGTAGAGTTTACAGTGAATAAGCTGCAGTGAACAACAGGCTATATGATTGTTCATCACTTGAGGATAGAAAAGTTGTCTTTTTTTATTTGTATCATACAAAATGTAATGAAAGTACAGCAATTATAATCAATCATAGTGGTTAATTAGGCCCAACAGTTGTGTGTATTGCAGAATTAGTAAACTTTAAAATTTCAAGCTGAGAGAAGAGAAAATTCAATAGAAATGTATGTACATCAAGTACAGAGAAGAGGTGCAGGTGGGCAGAATCCCCTTTTGAGAAGATTGTACAGAGAATCAGCCTCAAGTCAGCCTTTTGTTTTAACCAGGGCCGGCTCTGGCCTTTTGGAGGTCCTAGGGAAGATTTTTTGGGCCCACATCTTGCTAGCTGATTTACTGGTTTAGGCTAATTAATAACAATGACTCTCACAAACTGTCTAAATTATATAATTTTATAAATGGCTGTTCTGTGAATCGCTGCTCTTTTGGGTTTAATAAGTTCCAGATTAAATTACAGTTAATCTTCTCAGCATTCTTGATCCAGGGGTCTGTCTCAACATGCAGTATTTATTGCTTATCCAGCTAACTTTAAGCTTAGTTTACTCTCTTACTGTAAGAGTTGAGCTGAATTTGTGCTCTGTTTCTAACAAGATAAAATCACATCATAACAAGAAACAATAAGCATGAACTAAAATTAGTGCATAAAAAAAAGTTCTGTTTTTTACTTAACCCACATCCTGAACACACCAAACCAAAGGATTGTTTTCAAAGTGTTTTCATGATCCTCAGGCAGATATGAGCTCCTACACCTTTAAAAAATGTGTTTAATCTGTTGAAGTAAAGAAACAAACAGGACGACAGTCCATTCATATTTCACCTCACTTTACTGAAATCGATCAGAGTCAGTATGTGTGGAAATATCCACAATGATGCATCAATTCAATCTTAGTGTTTGAACATATACAGTTTGTTGTTATAAACAGTTTATTATACACAGTTATTTTATTCTTTCCTGTCATAGATCACAGTTATTTTATTCTTTGCTGTTTTGCATCATACTTATTTTATTATTTCCTGTTTTATGTCATACAGTTACTTTATTATTTCCTGTATTAGATCATACAGTTATTTTACTCTTTCCTGTTGTAGATCATACAGTTATTTTACTCTTTCCTGTATTAGATCATACAGTTATTTCCTGTTTAGATTATACAGTTATTTTATTTTTTTCTTGTATTAGATCATCATACAGTTATGAAATCAGACCTGGGCCACAATGATGTGACATAAAGCTTCTCTGACTATTGTGAGCATAGTGTTCCTGTTTCAGCAAAGCATTATGGTCTGTGTAGTTCTGTGGAAGTTTTTGAAACTACACAAAGGTTCTGTATCACATGTGTAAGTATATTTGCTTTGTATCTATCAGGGTGATTACAATTAACTAAAACTATCACTAACAAGCATGAAAAAACAATCAGTAATAAAAGAGCAATAAAAATAGAAACACCAAATTTCAAGAACACAGAAATGAAATCCAAACTGTGATGTCTACTGCAAAGCTGACAAAAAAAATAGAATTACTGAGTCTGAATGAGAGTTTAGAAGTGGAACTCTTCTCTGTTTGGCTGTTTTTAAAGAAAGAGCACGACTACATTCAGATTTCAAAACTGTAATAACCCTGAAATCTGCATGATCAGTCAGTGTAGTTTAATTGGTGTTAATTAAATGAGGTTAACGGTTAAACAGTAAATAAATGGCAGCGCATATGAAGTGGGTGTAATTTCTTGGTGGGCGTAACTTTGACTGCACAGAAAAAGGGAAGGAAACCAGTGTGTGAGAATCAGTTAAAAACACTGAACACTCATCCATCCCTCACACACACTCTGCTCACACACTCTGCACTGTCCACTCAGGTACACAGCTGTGAGAAGACTTTACAGAAGAATGTAAGTAGGAAAGAATTTCATCTTAATTGTTCTCTGTGTGATCATTAACTGCTGTAGCTGAGTAACTATAACAGGTGAAGTAGTAAATATACAAAAATACTTTTTTAAAATAAAGACGACGTCAGTTCTCTCAGCAGTGAAAGGAAATGGTGTATTGTACGGTAAGACTGTTACAACATGTGTTGGTTTAGATCATTTAGATTATTTATCATACATTAGAATATGATAGATTATATTATTATAGATTAAATTACACACCAAAACTACATTTATACTTTTATTTATTTATTATTTTTTTACAGTGAAAGTGGAATCATGAGCTCTGAATGTGGGACGTTACTCATCATCCTGCTGTGTATTTCAGGTAGGATTATTCTGTCTTTGATGATTTTGACCAATTTGCACTCTGGGGCAGAGCAGCGCTGCATCTCTAGCTAGTTAAGGATACCAAAGACAGAAGCTGTGGGTGAAGCAGATAAACAATGACAAAATGACATCATAACTTTATTTTCAGGGACCCCCCAGAATTTTGATATTGAAACATTCAGGGGGTAGTATTCAGGAGGGTAATTAGGGTTCCCAGACACCTCGGGACCCCCTGTATTTCACACCTTCCTAACAACTAACTAAAACTAAAAACTAGTTGTGAGGCTGCTACTTGTTTTTGCAGCCAGAAAAGCTAAAGCATTTTTCATGAAGAAATCAAAATGTGATTGGTTAATTTCACAGTGACATTGTATTTATGTTGGTGGTTTATCTGGTCGATTAGGGAACTCTGGTCCTGGAGGGCCGGATTCCTGAACAGTCTGTTGATTTTCTTGCTCCAACATACCCGTGTTAACTCAGCAGTTAATTACAAGCTGTATTTATTGGGTCAGCACAGAAAAATCAGCAAACTGGGCTGGACATCCCCAAACCTATGTTTAGGCCTTCTGTCCAGCTCCTGAATTCCTAACAAGTGGGACAGTTTGCTTAGATGTATCTAACTACAGATGTCACAGATAAAAAGAAAAATTGAATTTTTATTCCCACCCAAACATGAGAATGATACAGAGTTTACAAACAACAAGCATGATGATTATATTAAAAATAATGAACTACAAATTTCAGAATTTTTAGTTCCTAGAAATCATTAGACTGTCTCTGGAGGCCTGGAAGGCTCTGAGGGTTCTACTCTGGAGCTTCCATAAGTGATATTAAACCTAGTACAGGAAAGTAATTGTTCATCACCACTACTGGGTGTTTGTTCCAACCAGTGTTAGGAACTCCTGTTTGGTTTTACACAACTCTTTCCATGTGGTAACATTGTTACTTTGAGTAAAGCAGTGGTTGACAACACTGGGTCTCGAGGAGCCCTGACCTGAGCATTTTAGTGCTTTTCCTGCTCTAAATTATACAGTTTGATCTGAGTTTGTTAATGAACTGACTAGTTGCATCAGGAAAACCAAAACCTGCAGGTCAGTGGCATCTCAGGATCAGGACTAGATGAGGCCAAAGAGCAGAACAAGATGAGAGCAACAGTGTGATGAGAGCAAAACAAGTGTGAGTGGGGCAGTGAACATCAGACAACACCACTCAGACAGAGAATACAGGAAACCCTAGTAAGAAAATTAGTAGGCAGAGATGGAAAATCTAGGGGTTACTTTTGTGGCTATTAGAGTGTAAAAGACAGCAACAATGCAGACGCAGATGAAGCAGCAGAGAAAACAGTGTTAACACACAATCTTAGTGTCCATTGACCTTCCTCTCTATGTTTTATTACAATGTTGATTGACCAGGAGCAAAATCAGCAGCTTTTAGCCATGGATGGTTACTCTATCCAGGAGTCTTTGGGAGCTGCTGTCTTCGGGCTGATTAACTTCAGTGTCGCAGGCAGTCTTGGAAACTACTGGACAAAGTTGCTCATGAATACTTGGACTAATATTATCTAGCTAAGTTTGTGCTAGCCCCAGTAGCTCAGTAGGCTGTCTAAAACATGTTACGTGAGCCAATATAACTGAAGCATGTACATCACAGCAAAGAACACATCTTATGGAGATCCCCTTCATATTATGATCCAAGATCAGATTTGTGAATAAGTTTATTATTTATTAGCCCATATCCTTTTTGGCTCTGCACTGCCCTGGTAGTCTGTAACCCTTGACCTAGGCTAGTTAGATTCATGACTGGATGTGGCCATGATCTTTGCTGAAATGCTATTTCTTTGAGGGATAAATGTGTTTGCTAGGTAACATAGTGAAGCTATATGCAGTCAGATAAGCTAATGGTTGTAGACAGACAGCCTAGAGTGCTATTCAAGCTCAAAAATATCTAGCTAACTGGGTTGAGTACTATTTTAGACTGTCTGTCTGCCTGTTATGCATGTTATGTTAGCATACTTTGAGAATGATCTGAAAAACACTGCTACAGTCTGTTTTCAAGCGAGTCTTCTCCATTCATGTTCTCTATTCCAGGCTGTCTGGGTGAGAGTTTCAGTGTGTCCTGCAGTCCTGAGACTATCTGTGCTCTGCAGGGGTCAGAGGTCGAGCTGACATGTTCTTACCCAAAAAACACCAAAACTGTCTTCTGGTTCAGCTTTAAACAGAAAGCTAAATGGAGAAATGAGAAACATCCAGAGGATTTAGCTTCAGACTCAGACTACACAGGACGAGTGAACACTGAGAGCACAGACTCCAAATCAACTCTTACAATCAGAGAGCTGAGAGAGAGAGACTCAGGAGAATATCACCTCATGATCATCACAGAACAAGGACAGAGATACTCCAGTCCTGCAGTTACAGTGACAGCTGCAGGTAATAAAACAGTAAAATTATAACATTCTGTATTTTTGAATATTTCCATGATCTTATAATGAACTGTATCTTGATTCAGATCTGCAGCTGAATATGACCCAGAGTGGACAGGAAGTGACTCTTACCTGTAGCACTTCCTGCAGTCTGACCTCTATACCTGATTTCTACTACTGGTACAAGAATACACAATATATACACAGATACACACCTTACAACAAACAGCCTCTTGTTTTATCCAGCAGAGCTGATGCTGGCAGTTACTCCTGCTCTGTCAGCAGCAAAGTTACAGTCTGGTCCTCTGCAGTCAGTGAGTGAAGTGCAGCTCAATACAGAGATTTTCTCTCCTGATTATTCATAAACTGATCACATATAACAGCAGTGATTTGTGTTTCTTACAGATGTTTTTATTCAGGACTCTGAGATGAATGTGAGTTACACAGAAAGACAGATCAATGCTGTAGAGGGTTTATCAGTGGATTTTCTCTGCACTTACTCACATCCCAAAGCTGAGAGAGTTAATAAAGCTTTCTGGTTTTACTTTCGGCCTGAAGTGAAGTCAGAGGAGCTGAGTGAGGAAGAGCAGTTTGCTGGTCGAGTGGAGTTTATTGGAGATAAAGAGAGAAACTGCACTCTGAGAATGAGAGATGTGAGAGAGAGAGACTCTGGAGAATATCGCTTTCAGTTCAGCACTCAGTCTGGAGAGACCTTTACTGGATCACCTGGAGTCACTCTGAAAGTTACAGGTAACTGCACATGCGTTCGATACAACGTACCGAATACTTACATGATGAAAAGACAAACAATTGGAGTTCCTCAGATTATCCATGTAACTCATGCACATGTTTACATGCACACAAAAAAGGTTTTAGTTAGCCTCAGGCTACGTTTGCATAGCAGGTAAAAGTGGCCCAAATCTGATTTTCTCACCAAATCTGATTTTTTTGTTTGGCTGTTCACATTATCTTTTAAATGTGATCTGTATGCGACATCAGTCTGAACAGATCAGCTCCTAAACAGTGAACAAGAACTAAGAACAGTGCTTCACGCGGCGGCTCGTCCAGAGGTAAACAGTCATGATGGCCAGCAAACGCCAGTCGCTCCTGGAGCTTTCAGTATCGTCTTCACCAGCATCACAGGAGCGAGTATAAAGTTCCAGTGGTTGACAGCTGGACTCATCACCCACAGTGTGTTCGAGTTCGCCGAAAAAGGGCACGTTATTCGGCCACGGCCTCTTCTTTGGAAATTATAACGAATGTCGAGTTGGATTGACGTAAAAGTCGCATGAATTCCGATCTGGCTGTTCAGACTGAGTCGCATCGCAGCAGATCGGATACGTTTCGGATTTCAGTACCACATATGAAAGCGTCTCAAATCGGAATTGAAAATGTCAGATTCAATGCGTTTTTTGCTGTTCACACAGCCACACAGACACATCTGTGTCACATTTGAGGAAAAAGATTGGATTTGGGCCACTTTTGCCTGCTGTGTAAACGTAGCCTAAGAAACTGGACTAAATCAAGGCGTTTAGAAGAGCTGCATAAAATACTTGTCTATTTATAGTCATGTTTACATGCATGACAACATAGTTTTCATGATCCACCTACAGTTATCCAAGTATGAGTGTCGCACCACTGAAAAATATCTGCATTTCTTTTTTCTCCTTCTATCTAAATATCAAATGATGTCTATTTCGGACAAATGTTAAACACGAAGGACGTCTCTTCCTCTCCTCACAAATAAAAGCCTTTGACCTTTTGTCACTTTGTTACGGTACCATAAAGCTGTCATCACATTTACATGTGCACATCTATCTTGAATAGTCCAGCCTGTATCGGCCTGAACCACCTGTATTAATCAGGTTAAGTTTAGTTCGACTAAGATCTTAGTTGGACCATGGCAGTCAAACTGTGTTGTATAAACGATCATGGCTTAGTTAGACTAGCAGATTTAGTTAGACCTAATATTAGTTATTAATAATATTATAATATATTATTATAATAGTTGTGCATAATTATTAAACATAATTATTGTTTTCCTGCTGTAATTTATTTTGTGGTTTGTTTGTTGAGGTTCATCAGCAAGCTCAGTGTTAAAGCTGGTCACAGTGGGAGTGGTGGTCTTTCTGGCTCTAATATTCATCACAGCAGCTCTGTGGATGTGGTTTGTGAACACTGAATATGTTTAATATCCACTAAACATGAATTCTGAGGCTAGATTTTTATTCTGTTTTAACACTGAAGTCAGTTTATGTGAAATCACAGAGTTTTTTTTACTATCTCAGATTTTGAACTACTTTCAGGTTATGATGTCTAAATAGAGTGTGTCTAAAATTTTAGATTTTTAGATCTTCATTGGTTTGTGAGATATAGAAGCTTGGAAGTGATAACAGCCTTAGTTTACACCTTGAAATGAGTGCTGTGGTAAATCATGCAAACCTTGAAAAGTTTATTTTTGAACTATTGATGCATTTAAGGTGGGTTGAACAGTTCAAATCCAAAATATAGAATAGCATGTTTAACATTTTCTTGCAAAAACGTTTGGGAAAATGAGAGCAAATTTGTTTCCCCTAATATGTCAGATATTTTAAATAACTGATATTTATTACTCATATTACAGTAATGTTTTGTTAAATAGCTGTTAGCCTTAAAGTAAGTAACAAGTTTTCCCATAGATTGGACGTTTATTTTATTGACGCATAAATCAGAAACCTTTATTACTGTAAGACAAATACAGAGTTGGCAAATATGTACTGTACCATGAATACAATAAACCAAAAGATGACAGATCTGATCTGGTATAATGTATAGCATTTTACAAATATTTAAATATTCTGTTAAATCAAGTACAGCTGTATTCAATGTTAGAATTTTATGGGACTCTTATTGTGATAGAATTAGTGTTCCTACTAAACGTGAGTTAAGTTCTTATTGAAGTGTGGGTTAAGTGGATTAGTTTGATAATTCCACCCATTTCTTGTTTCTGACACACTGTGTCTGCTGCTGTATCATGACTGAATCTTTAAAAGCAGATTTAACTAAGATTAATAGGTAAGTTAATTATAGCAAAATTTGGAATTAAAGAAAAAATTAAGAATTATTCCTGATTATTTATTTATCTAAGATCAGCAGTTAAATAAATAATAAATTATAATCAAAGTGTGCACTTTTTCCTGTAGCACTCATTTTGGCCTCTGTGATTGAAACATTAATGAGGATAGAAGCCTAAAAACTTTGCACTCTCACTATTAGACACAAAGGCACTATTTCCTTAAAGTACTAACCTTTTCAAAGGTCTGGTGATTTGAAGGGGATTCACTCACTGTGTTTGTTTCTCAGGAGGAGAAAACGCAGCTCGTCTAAAGACCACAGTAGCTCTGAGGAGAGTGGACAGGTCAGCATATTAGAGAGGAAGAACTCTTACTCACTCTCTCTCTCTCTCTCTCTCTCTCTCTCTCTCTCTCTCTCAGTGTAATTCTGCTACTGTACATAATAATGTCTCAGTTCTGACCATGACCTTTGACCCTGCACAGAAAGCAGCATCAGCTGATGAAGACAAACTTCAGTACAGCATCATCCACTTCACACACCACCACACAAACACCAAACTTCCTCTACACACCACAGAGGGAGACAGTGTTCAGTACGCAGCTGTGAACTTCAGTACACACACTGCTGCCCCCCAGTGAGCAGATCCTCTCTGCACTGATTCTAAAGAGCTTTAGTTCATATTACTGCTGGACTATTGATCAGATTCATCACTCATAAAGCACTAAGTCATTACTGTAGCTTCTGCTGAATCATCTCTTAATGTTCTACAGGCCTCTGACAGCTTAGTCAGCTGAGCCGTCTCAGACTTACAGCCAGATCCACATCCACAAAACATGATCAACACAGCTCACTCACTGTGAGCTCAGAGGAGCAGGAGCTGTGGATGCTGGAGAAAAGCTGAGAGTCTCTGTTAGACTGTATCTGTAAACACATGAGAAGTTCAGTTCACACACATGTTGAAACAAACTTCATTACTTTAATTTTACTTTGATTTTGATACTTTTACCTTTATGTAGTTTAGTATATTTAGTAATAATGTTTCAGAAAAAAGGATTTCAAATGACAACTGTCAATTTCCTCAAACCATCTGAGTAAATTGAGATAAATTAGAATCAGATTTATATATATATATATATATATATATATATATATATAGATATATATATAGATATATAGATATAAATATATATATATATATATATATATATATATATATATATATATATATATATATATGTGTGTGTGTGTGTGTGTGTGTGTCCAGTCCAACTGCTATATCCAACTGCTGTTATTTTTAAGGTTTGAATGTTGTTTAATAAATAATTGTGTAAATGTGTTATTTAATATGCACTTCTGTGATGTTAAATTTCTCACTCTCAGCTTTTGCTTTTTTAGTCAGTGTGAATTTAATGTTGTCCACTATATTACTAAAAGTTATTTATTTATAAGAATCTGCTGGTCTGATGATCTGGCCAGTCATCTATCAGAGAAAATGCCAGGTTAGCAGCAGAATGAAAAACATTCTGTGTAATGTTCCCCTTTACCTCACTGCCATCAACAGAAGATGAAAGTGCAGAAATCCCTCTGTGGACCAAAACTGAATAAACAGGTTTAAACATAAATTCACAGCGTTTAAACTTCTCATTAAGATCCAAAAGCAAAGCAAAGAAAAAAAAAACAGGTCTTACATCACAGAAATATATAAAAACATTTACATTTACACTGAACACTTATTGTCAATTAAAATGTGTTATTATTCATAAACAAAAATATTTAAAGTTATTCTAGTTACAATTAAGCCTAATAAGGATGAATAAACTAACATTAGAAAAAACAAACTGCTTCAAAACTAACATACAAAATACAATCATATTCACAGTCGTATTGCTTTAAACATCAAACACAGAAATAAATGATGTCGGAACAAATTAATATTCTAAACATTTAAAGTGTGATGTTGGTTCAGGTCTCTAAGGTTGTTTGAGATCACATGATAAGGACATTATAAAAGCTCATAAGAGTGTCCACTCAGAACGTCACTGCATGTGACTAAGCCCTATTACTGCACTAAGGGGCTTAAGTTCATAGTGGGGGGCTTTACTGTTTTCTACACGTTTTGGAATTCTGTCCAGCTCTTACATGACAGTGTGTTTAGGAGTGATTTGAACTGATACACTCAGAGTTGTGTATGAAATCTGATCTTCAGTCTGATTCAGATGGGATTAAATGTACATGGTGTTCTGGAGTAATTTCCTCTTTTACAGCTTCTGCTCTGTGATTTTATTTCTGTCAGCTCTGTCGATGTTTTTCTCCCTCCTATCTGCTGTTTTTCATTGAACTCATTGGTGGTCTGAGCATTTTAGTCCTGTTGAGATCCACATCTCCATGATTGTCCAGGTAGATGTCATCTCACATTTAAAAAATATGGCAGTTACTTTGTCTACTGGTGCAAGGATCCATTAACACAAGAAAATTCATGAAATGATGGGAGCTTTGGAAGATTCTCTCAACCATTAACTACTGCCTTTGTAGTGCACCATGAAAGTCATGAAATAACAGCTTCCACACCCAAACAGTGCATTATATGTCTAAATGAATCCTATTTATATTCAGACACAGGTTGCACAACTTCATATTTAAAGGTGCACTATACGATTGTGGAGAACAACTGTTGATGTTTCCACTCAAGAGCAAAATAAATACACAACTCCCTTCAGTGTTCCATCAGAAGCTCCGCCCCTCAAAGCACATTGCCAAGGTGAATGACACTGGGCTAGCAAACCCGTTTTTTTAGTTTTTTTGTGGCCATAAAACTCTTTGCAAACATTGTACAGACAAATACCACAATGCAACATTAAAATAAACAACCACACAGCAAGTAACGTAGCTAACGTTAGCAAACTGGACAAAACATACTGACCTACTGGTTCTGTGAAACAGCAAAAATAAGGTAATGTTGTCCACCTGTCAAGCAGAAACAGGGCAACCTTCTTATTCCTTTTCATGCCGGTCAACTCTCTCCATGAAGCTGAGGTCAGCTTCTTACTCACCAGCTTCTTGTTAGAATTTTCCCGCTCCATCTTAAATGATGTGCCAGTTATATTCAGGCACCTCAGGCGCAGAATGGAACTGCTGCACGATTTAAGGTGGAACAGGAAAATGCGAATAGGAAGCCAAACTTCAGCCTCGTCAACTTTGAGGATGATTCAGTGGAGGAGTTTTTAAAAGTCTCATCAACTCTGAGAAATATTCAGTGGAAGAATATTTGAAAGCCTCGTCAGCTTCAAAGAATATTCAGTCAAATTGTTTGCTGTTAATGTTTAAAATATCGAGTGTAGAACCTTTAACATTTAGCGCACTATAGAGCGCCTGCAGCTACAAGTATAAAGCATTACTGACATAAACTTACAGTTTTCAATGATGACATGAAATATAAACATCCAGGTCTGTAAACTAATATAACCCTAACAGGGCTTTTATGTATGTGAGGACTGATTTGAGTTTGACAGAATATAATAGAAGCTAATTTGAGTGTAATTGAGGGGGTTTCTATGGTGAGGGTCTCTGTAAGTTTTCATAATCTGCGGCTGGAGCTCTTCTCTGATGCTCACTGTGTGAAGCCTTCACACCCTGAAAAACACACAGCAGAGAAAAACATTTAAACACACTCAACACACACGTAAACACACACTCAGTGTAGGTACTGAAGACTTACTGTCAGAGTGTCGTAATCAAAGCACATGGTTTCAGTGTTTAAGGCTGTGTATGTGTGACTGGGAGAGTCTGTAAGAAGCTGGAAAATAAAAGAACATTAAAAAAGCTTCTAGAACTAAATAAAATAGAACTAGATGACTAAATACTCTAGAACTAGAAGAACACTTAGACACACACAAACACACTAGACTTACTTGTAGAGTGTCATAATCTGAGGTCATGGTGGTGGGATTCAGAGCTGTGTATGTGTGGTCTGCAGGATCTGGAGTCTTTTAGAGAGATGAGGAGAACAACTTCAGTCTTTATTCAGTAGCAGCTTTATAGGAGTATGTAGATAGAGAAAGAGTGAAATCCTCTCTGAGTACCTGAATATCTGTGTCTCTCTCTGCTCCTCTCTTCCTCCTGATTACACTGCACCTCCACAGAGCTGCTGTGATGAGTATTAGAGCCAGAAAGACCACCACTCCCACTGTGACCAGCCTTAACACTAAGCGCTCCTCTGGACCTTCAGCACCTTCACAAATAAACAATGAGCTGCAGGTTAAATTACAGCAGGAAAGATGAGAAATGTTCAAATAATTTTCTGTCATTCTGTCTGGCAGTGAGGGAAAGGATTCATGTCATCAGTGCTTCAGGAAGGATGTAAATGTAAGAGATATTTTTAACACAACAATACAACCTTACATGTATCATGGATAAGGCCAATCTGAATCAACATGATATTGACCTAATACATAGTACTGACCAGTGCTATGTGAAAGTATCAAAGTAAAAATGCTGTGTCAAAGAAAAAAAAACAAATCTTATATACAAAAAAAAAATTGTAAACAGTTGCAGAACGTACCACACTTTTATCTACTGTCAAAATGGCAGCAAGACAACAAAAAGTAAAAGAAAAAAGAGAAAGAAAGCGAAAAAGAAAGAAAGAAACGAAAAAGAAAGAAAGAAAGAAAGCATTCACATATAGAGTTCCTATGCCTGACAAAAAACTGTGAGTTGAGCTGATGACTTTAATTCATCTTTTAAATTATGACAACTGCAAAAAATGTGCCAAGTTGTTAAATAAGCAATATGTAAGCTGACATAACCAGTCAAATTCATGCTCTACACAGTCCCTCCTCCTCCCTCTTCACTCCTCCTCTGTTTCCTTACCAGTCTGAAGAAACATTGCAAGTTCAGCAGCAAAACCCTTTACTCGCCAAGACCATTCTCCAGCGGTGGAAAGCAACACCAAAGTTAACTCTTGTTTTGCTTCCATTTATGTCACTTTTTTTTTTTTTTGCTGCAGAACATGGTTTCATGCTGGGAGTGAGTGCGCTACTTCTTAATCCTCTCACGTTGGAAGCAAAATATTATGTTTCAAATCTCCAAAATGTGTTGTACAAATGATGACAGTTTTTTCAAAAATACTTATTTTCACTAATTTTAATAGAAATATATTCCTCATTTCGGCAGTTTTTGCTTTATTTTTTTCTATTTTCTGCTTTTGCTGATATATGGTTTTTGTTTCTGGAATCAAGTCAAGAGTCAAGTCAAGAGGCTTTTGTTGTCATTCCATGTGTGTACAAGTACACAGTGGAGCGAAATTACATTCCTCCAGGACCGTGGTGCAACATGGAACAAAATAATTCAGTACAGACAAAGTGCATTACAATAAATACAGTAAATAAAACAGACATTAGACACAGTAAACAGACAGGACAGTGCAGCACCGACACAGCACTCATTTCTGAGCATGAAGTAGTGAGGATAAGGTGCAGAGGTATTTAGCATGCTATGATATGTAGATAGATACAGTCAGATTATAACATACATGAGCACAGCAGCTACTGAGGTAGAAATATACAGTACTTGAGTAGAATACAGTGTTAGCAGCAACGTTCCAGTGCAAGTAAAGCATCAAAATAGAGGTGTGTGTATGGGGGTGTAAAGTATGTGTGAGGGGGTTTTCAGTTCAGTCCTTGTGAGTTTAAAAATCTGATTGCTTGTGGAACAAAGCTGTTGCAGAGTCTGACAGTGATGGCACAGATGCTCCGGTACCTTCTGCCAGATGGCAGCAGTGAAAAAAATCATTATTTTGCTTCCAAAATCTTTCTTCTGCTTCTGACTTCTGCATGAACTGCCCCCAGCAGTGCTGCCTTGGGTGCAGCTTTGTACCGGCATATCCGACATTATTAGCAATGTGTGTCATGTTCCAACATGTGTAAAATAATATAAGCATTATTTTGGGCAAAGAACCTATACTTAGTTGTTTAGGAATGAACAAAGCTGTATCACCTTCAGGGTTAGCCTACTTTAGGGCTAACTAGGTCAGCCATTCTGGTAATGGAAATAAACTGCTTAAATATCTAATGTTAGTTCACAGTATTAATGTGAAGATGGTAATTTGGAGCAGCAAATTCTGTAAACTGGCATGCTAAGATAAAAAAAATATAACATCAAAACTGTTATTTCTCGACAATCTGTTGATAAAGTTAGTTAATTTTGGAGTGTTTTAAACTAAAAATCTTACAAATTGCTAATTTTATAGCCACTGTGCTGTTCATAGAATAATCTTTGACTGTTATGGCGGATTAATTGGTTTTGCTATTATTATTCCGAGTAATTTCTTTCACTGGGGTATATCTTGCGGTGTGTTTGAAAAGTGTGGCAACAACAAGGTGCTGAAATATACAAAACATTTATCCAAAAGTTTGATGACCTATCAGCAAGGACCTGTGTAATACTGCAGTTGACCTTCAAAGCTGAAGAGCTCTAGTTAAGGATCATTAATGAGATGTGTTTTACAGGACTCACAGTCACTGAGTGTTTGATCAGGAGAGCGGAGCTTCTCATGTCCTCCCACTGCACAGGAGTAGTTTCCTGCATTTTCACTGCACTTCAGGTACAGCTTATTGTCTCTGGTGAGTTTGTTAGATACAGGCTGTCCGTTCTTGTACCAGATGTAAGTGGGGTTGTTAGGCAGAGTGCAGGTGCTGCTACACATCAGTATTACTGTCTGTCCATGTGATTCTGTGCTGAAAATTACTCGTACCTGCAGATCTGAACACGCAGAAAAATATTACATTGATCAGAGAAGTGCATCAAACACAAATAAAAACAGTAAATGACTCATATTGAGCAGTTACCTGTAACACTCAGAATGACTCCAGGTTTACCAGAGAATTGCCCTTTTTGACTATAAGTGATGATTTGAAAGTGATATTCTCCATTGTCTCTTTTTCTCACATCGCTCATTCTCAGAGTGCAGTTTTTCTCTTTATCCCAAATGTATGCCACTCGACCAGCAAACTGTTTTTCCTTACGCAGGTCCTTTGGCTCCTCCTTAGACCAGGAGTAATGCCAGAATGCATCACTGACTTTAATATCACTGGGATATGAATAAGTGCAGGGAAAGTCCACTGATGAACCCTCTAATACACACACTCTTCTGTCTTTGTAGGTCACACTCCAACAGCTCTTACCAGAAATGCCTAAAATGGCAAAATTGAATCAAAATTAATTTGTTTCAAATCATCCTCAGGGATGCCCAGATGGTACAGTTTTGGCTTAAACATAACTTTCAACATATAAGGACAGGGCAAAAATCCCAGACCATTTTTGAGAACTACTGGCCTACAGACCTTTTTATTTAATCATGATTTTTTTCTTTGTTTACAAAGGAATCTTTTGTTTACATGGATTGTGTAAATAAAGCAGTAAATAAAAATAAAGCAATAAACTTACAATTTTTGGAGTTTGAATAAAAACTTCCATTAATGAGTCTGAGGACAGCTTCACCACTCCAAGCTTTCTCATATTGCTTTACACTAGCTTGGTATTTCAAAGTGAATGTGTCACTGAATTAAGTACTGAGGTAAAATTCAAACTTACACAGTGGAGAGGAAAATATGCTGTTATAGCCATAAACAGAGCAGGAGTAACTGCCTTCATCACCGCTAGATAAAACAAAAGGATCACTGTAGTCTGTGTTTTTTCCAGTAAATTGTCCATTCTTGTACCAGAAGTAACGCTGACGGGCAAAGGTCAGAGAGCAGGAAGTGCTGCAGGTCAGACTGTTTGGTCTGTTTCTCTTCACCTGCAGGTCTGAATGGAGTTATAGTTATTAGTGTTTGATCACATAGCAGACGAGTATGACTGAACATGCTCTATAGACAGGCTGCTTTATTACCTGTAACTGTTAGACTGACTGCAGTTGAGCTGAGATGTTTCTCTCCTTGTTCTGTGATGATCATGAGGTGATATTCTCCTGAGTCTCTCTCTCTCAGTTCTTTGATTGTAAGAGTTGAGCTGGAGTTTGTGCTCTCAGTGTTCACTCGTCCTGTGTAGTCTGAGTCTAAAGCTAAATCCTCTGGATGTGTCTCATTCCTCCATTTGTTTTTCTGTTTGAAGCTGAACCAGAAGACAGTTTTGATGGTGATGTTTGAGTAAATGCATTTTAGCTTCACCACTGACTCCCGCAGAGCACAGACAGTCTGAGAACTGCAGGACACACTGATACTCTCACCCAGACAACCTGAAAAAGAGAACACATTTTTGGAGCACTGAGGAAAAAAAATCCTAAAATTGAAAGAAACAGTAGGTTATGATATAAATGCACTTTGTGCTGTAGATGGTTTTACATTAAATCTTTTTGAAAATGGTTCTGTATAGCAACAGAAAGGTTCTTCAGTAACACTCTGTCAGTAATTAAGGCATTTACTAATGAATAACTAATCAGAAAGTAATGAGTCATTAATCAGGAACAAATGAATAAGTCATATATTAACAACCACAAGACTAAATTACTAACACATGTACTAATGAATGAAGATGAAGGTAATAAAGGCTTTATTCAGTGCTTGAATTAGTTAGGAATTCATGTGTTAATTAAGTGTACAAAAAGAATGTTTTTGGCAAACTGCTAGAAACTCTGTTAGTTTCATTCTATTCATGCAATTTATGATTACCTATGTCATACTGCAATGTCATACTGTCACAACAGAAACATAAACTGTTGTATGTTTAATAAACTGTAAACTAGTTTATTTACTGAAAATAGGCATTTCATTTAAGTAAAACTGTGAATTATCTTAATATATGCCACAGTTATTCTGAGAATGTCATGCCTTCTGTAGCGGAGACCAACATCTCTCACTCCATCCAGCACTCCAACTCCCAGAATTCACTGAGAGGTCACATGACCAGGAACTCTCAGCCATCCACCTATCAACGTTCGCACTCACCTGAGTATTGATTGATTACACCTGTTTCAAGGACTATAAATGTTTGTCTACTATGCTTTGTCTTTGCGAAGTATTGTTACATCTCTGTGCATTACCAAGCCTTGTTTATGTGTATTGACTTCCTGGTTTTTGAGATTCTGCCTGTTTACGTTTACGACCTTAGCCTTATCCTTTTGGACTCTGTTTTGATTGTGTGTGTATCGACCCTCGACTGCTTGTACTTTGATTACGGATTTTCCCTACACTAAAAACCTTGTTCTATAGCCTGCTCTGCGCTTGTCTGAACTTTCATCAACCGTTACAGAGAAATACCACCTTCCGAAAATGAAAATGTGTTTCCCGTTATACGTCTATTATTCTTTTCAAAAATTTGCTATATCTAAATGTTTTACTAATGGAAACACATCATTTTGCAATGTAACACTTCAACTGTTTCCGCAGCCGGAAATTACTGCTATTTCTCTTCGCCAGTAAATGGCAGTAACTGTTTAAATGCTATATGTCAAGCAGCCATAGAGTCTTGAGTGAATATCTCTAGTAAACCGTTTAAGAGAAGCGAATGAAAATAATTGAAATAATGAAAGTTATGCATATGCACACTGTATTATATACGTAATTTACATCGCATATATAATATTTACATGTGGTATTGTTGTCTGAGTGTTGTGAGTGCTGGTATGTATGTTCGTGCCTCACCTCTTTTTAGACTAATGTGTAAAACATGCAGCTGTTATCTGTGGTGAAACAGGACAGATTTGCAGGAACTATTATTTCTAAATTCGTTGTAAAGTAGCTTAAATATTTGGTTTGGTGCTTAGTTATTTGCAATAAACCTTTTCGGTTTTAACAGTAAGGTGTTTGTGTTTCTCACGAGCGTCGTGTTATTCTAGTAGTAATACGTGGCGTCAGGCGCGTCTATTCTGTCTGGTTAAAATCACATGTTAATTTTATGCTGCTTGGTTCATTTGTTATTCCTCCTTTGACAGGGACTCTTATTGTGAAGGGCTATGTGTGCGGTGGCAGTGCTTCACAGGGCCTAGTAGTAAACAGACTGAGCCGAGACAGCGAGAGGGCGCTAACTGCGCTGAGCCGAGCGCTGACATGGCGCCATATTCTCCCCTTTCTTTGTGCTCCGTTCTGAGTTTTTAGTAAAGTCACAGACTCGACCTTCAGCTTGTGTGAGTTATGTGGAAACACCGCTGCAGTATGAATATCTGTGTGACTTTAGTCAGCCAGCAGTTCTGTCCGTTTTACAGATGTTTGTGGAACTACAGAACCTGTATGTATTGGGTTCTCTTCATTTTCCGTGTTACAGTGACAGATTCACCTACTCTGGTTCTGTGTATTGTGTAGAAGTCATAAGATGATAATAAAATATGCTTTTTTATTCCTGTGAATTTCGTCAATGTCATGTTTTTATATGAGCCATATTGTACCTATCCTTCATCACTGTTCTTGAGAGGGCAAAAGAATGACTGTCATTTTGGTAAGTAAAATGATTAACCCCTGCTATTTTATTAGCTTTTAATCAGTAATAAAGTGTGACTGGTTCACTGATTTACTTTAGGGAGCACAAACATTATGAACTCATCATGAAGAATTAGTATATAATCAGTAATAAAGTGTGATTCGCTCATCACTTTCTGGGGCACAAACATGAATTCATTATGAAGAATCAGTATTTAATGAGTAATAAAGCGTGACTGGTTCATCACTTTACTTTAGGGGGCACAAACATTATGAATTCATCATGAGTCATCAGTAATCACTGCTTTCTTTATAGTGAATTGAGAATTGACACTGCATAGTTTTGTATTTTTCTCACTCTGACACACCTCAACCAGCACAACAGGAGCTTGTAAATTAGCAGTTGAGTTCAATCAGGTGTACTAGATCTGGGAAAGCACAAAAATGTGCATACAATTAAGGATTCTTATGACCCCAGGAGAAAGACACTCCAATAATTAACTCATTTCTGAGTTCAGTGGTAACTGTAGGCTAAACTATTCCTTCATGAGGCTCCGTGTATCAATACAGGAGTTAAAACATGTCATATTATTATCATGAAAGATGAATTAAAACTATGGCAACTGTCACAAATGAGGACTAGTTGCAAAACAATGTCAGTGTAAGCTTTTAATTTTACTAAACAGTCACTAGGTGGGTAGGAACAGACGAGGTAACATAAGAAATCAAAAACAATAAACTGAAGACCTGACAGATAGAAACAGGCAAATACAAGGGCTGCTTACACAGCATGATGAAGAAGAAGGACAAGATGATGAGAGGATGGAGCTACAGAAAAAAACACAGGCATAATATTCCAGAGCACTGTGTCTCGGGGATCTTGTGACAACATTAATTAACACATGAATTCCTAATAAATTCAGGCACTGAATAAAGACTTTATTACCTTCATCTTCATTCATTAGTCCATGCGTTAGTAATTTTGTCTTGTGGTTGTTAATATATGATTTATTCATTTGTTCCTGATTAATGACTCATTACTTTCTGATTAGTTATTCATTAGTAAATACCTTAATTACTGGCAGATCATGTACCCTTAATGTAAAGAGTTACCAGTTCTTCTACTATTTTGAAGCTTGTAACAATAATAGAACCTTTTGGTGCTATATAGAACCCGTTTCAAAAAGGGAAAAAATAAAAGCCACGTTTTTGTGAGGTTTTCAATTTATTACAGGTCAAACAGAATTTATGAAACACTGTTTTCTGTTTATATAAACATTTCTTATACTGTTGTGGAGGATTTTTTAACATCTGTATTCATATTAGAATGAACTCTGTGTGTCCTGTGTTTTCAGTCTATGAGAAAAAAGCCAAAGCCATGTAAGCTTTCTACAAGTGTGACCTTCAATGAACAGTTTTGTCAAGTGGAGTTTTAGATGAGCCAGTGGTGTGGAACATGGCCAAGAAAAATGATACAGAGCTTTTTTAGACAAAGCTGCACATGGCCCAGAACTAATATGTTGAATAGGTTATTTTGGTAGCCAGTAAAATCATGTAATTTGAGAATAAAGTGTTCCCAAATTATGTAGAGATGAATAAAATGGGAAGGGCAAAGGAGGAGACAGGTGAGCCCCTCCTCTGCCCAGATGTGTATAAAGAACTGATGTTTTGTGTGCTTCAGTTGCAGCCTGAGGCCTGTAGTTGACATGGTGCTAGTTAGACACCATGTAGTTGTTAGACACAGCAACAGCAACTGAGATGGTTAGCTGTCGCCTCACATACAGCAACCACTTTGTGTCAGAAACATGTCTGTGACACTGTGTTGCCTTTGCATAATACTAAGGTTAATCTATTATAGCTTCAATAACTCATAGTGCTTTTATCTCTGATACTTCAGTAAGTTTAAGCAAAAACTTTTGTATATAAATGTATATATTATATTATATTATATTATATTATATTATATTATATTATATAAATATAGATATAGATATTAGTAGTAGCCGGAGGTAGTAGTAGGGTGGTGTTCTGGTAGAAACTCTTCCTTAAATATGAGTTTAGTCATAACCATTATACAGTATACCACAAATAAGTGTAGATAACATGACACAGAAACAGTGCAAACCACACAGTGTTTTCCAGTTTAGCTGAGTGGCACACAAGAAAAAATACTTGAGAAATTCAACAAAGCTTAAGTTGGCTTCTTTTTCAGAATTTCCATTCCATTCAAATGGTGCAGCAGTTACATTTAGGCACCTGTGAAGGTGTTAGAATGTACCAGCCTTTCCATTTAAGGTGGATTGGAAAATTTAACAAAAAGCTGCCAAATATATATAAATAAGAGACCACATTCTTCAGATGGAAAAAAACAGCATTGTTTTTGCTGGGTATGAGGTTCATCTACATAATGATCAGTTAAGTTTTTAACTTTTCACACAATAAAATATTTCAGGTTCACATTGGTTGTTAAAAATGTTTGTAATTAAAAAGTGAGAGGACATCCTAGAATAATAAGCCACTATATACCTACAAAAATAAGTTTACTTAAAGCACCAGCAGAAATTTTATTTATGCTATGATATCAATTTTTGGCCATAGCACCCACTTTTATTTTTGCTTGTGTAATATTTTACAAAAGGTATCTGTATTTACAGCCAAATGCAGGAGTACTTTGTCCATCACTGAATAACCTTAAATTCCTTGAAAAAATACTAATTAACAGTAAAGTATTGTCTATATAAATTTCCGAAACGTTCTACTTCTGTGTGAGCTGAAATAGCGGTTAATTACTCCACTCTTTACAGATGAAATCCTAATTTAATTCAATTCTGCTGCTTCTATTTTGCTGGACTGAAATCCCTGATTGTGCCTTTAATGATCAGTGTTTAAGTGGTTATTAAAGATGGTGAATCAGTGTTTTAGTCTAAACACAGAAACTCATTAAAGACAGAATAATCCTACCTGAAACACACAGCAGGATGATGAGTGATAATATCCCACATTCAGAGCTCATGATTCCACTTTTACTGTAAAATAAACACACAGAATAATATATTTGTGTAGTTTAACACATGAATGTATAAATCCAACTATCAGACACTCTGTTTGCTTTTTTTACTGACAAAACTGATACATTCCTTTATGGCTTTAATCATATTCATCATTTCAGCTGTGCTAAAACTCAGTCACAATGATGTAATTATAGATGAGAGAGAGAAAATCTTCATTACTTACGTTCTTCTGTAAAGTGAAGAGCTTAATGTTACATCTACTACCAGTACGTTTGACAGTAAGTACAAACCGGACTCTGTCATCCTGTTGTTTTCAAAGGGCAGCAGATCAATTCTTTCACTTCCTCATCGGCTTCTTGTGCAGTGGATAACAGGAATGCATGAAACCATGCAGGCCCCCCGGATGACGCACATTTTGGTAAATTCAGAAATACACTGCATTGGTGTACACTAAAACCACAAACCACAAGTGTACACCCCTTCAAAGCCTTGCCCTCAAAACACATAAACAACACGGGCTGATTAGGTATGAACACCTGAACGCTAGTGCTAGCTAAACAATTCTCACAATTAAAATCACATGAATGGATATCGACACAGCCTGTTAGCTATACAGCACCAGCTATCACAGAAGCTGGCTAACATCAGCCTTGTTTCTCTGAGCCCAGAGCCAGTTTTGTTAGCTTTAGGCTACTATCTCTGATTTTCTTAGCCAGAGCTGCAGCACACTTTATCACCAGCACAGTCTGGAATGAAATGTGCTATTCAGAAATGACCTGTCTACCACATACAGAGTAAGGTCATGACCATTAATAAACAGGGTAAAGGGGGCTAACAAAGTATACAGAGAAACAGATGGACTACAGTCTGTAACTGTAGAACTACAAAGTGCTCCTATATGGTCAGTGGAGCTGATAAAAATAACAATGAGTGTAGAAACAAGGTAGGAGTAGCTTATAAAGTGGCCAGCGAGTTGCCGCAATGGGAGAACTGACATAAAAATTGCTGACACACACACACACACATTTCTCCTATAGTGTTACTTCATTTAGCTGTGACATCAGACACGTAAACCCACACAATTACACAATCATTTACACATGTGACCAGACACACAACAGACACAATTCTTGTCAACTTTGCTATACTTTCATCACAAAGTTGATGACAAAAAATATGCAAACACTGTATCAGCTAAAATTAGAAGTGTTTTTGTCTCTGATCTTAAAGTTGGTGTGAATCGTAAATCACACACATTGTCCTCCTGTAACATGACATATTTCTGAGTGAAACACCATGTCAGGGAGGGTCTCTGATCAACAATATTATTAATTTATACTACTGTACTAATACTTAAGAATATACAATATAATTCAATAAAATCCTCAGTATATAAGCTGAAAAATGGGCCAAACCTATCAGTGTAAAGAGTCAGTAGACAGTCTGTAATTAATGTCTCTTTTACATCTGTTCCTGTGATAGGTGGGGTTTTGGGAGGGAGAGGTTAAATGTGATATTGGTAAATTTAATCCCCGCCCCACACACACACACACCCCACTGCCCCCCAATCTCTCACATGATTGGTCTATTTAAAGCACATACATGGTCTATGTACAATAAACGGTACTAACTCAGAGACCTGCAGTAGAACTAGCTGACTATCTAGCTTCGTTAGTTAACAGCATCACAGTTTGTGTTCATGACTTCACAAAGTGGATAAGAGGAGGACAGAAAGGTGGAGCTGAGAGGAGAAGGTCGGTCAGTCTTTAGCCTCCTCTACTCACCTCAGCACTGTTACTGCTGTAGATTGATTCCCTCTGTCAGCAAATATCACATCAATTCACCGACTGAGACTTCTATTGTCCGTCTGATCGATTTAATAGCATAATTATATCACTGCTATAGTTATAATTATATAACTGATTTGACACAAACAGAAACTAACAGATCCGTCTTCAGTCATGTAGAACTCTTTTCTTACATTTGTAGTCTCTGTCCAGGACCATTCAACTTTTATTTTTACATTAATATTTTAAGAGACATCACAGAGCACTTAGGAACACAGACACTGCACCAAACATTTCAAAGAATTAAAGGTATCACTGAGCTTGAACTTTGTGTCCAAGTGTTTAAAATATCATATGGAATGGATCATTATTTACCCTCAAATGTTTAAGTGAATGAGCTGATTATTCTACTAATTTCATATCATACTTCATGAGTGTCATACTAAATAGGTTATTTACTATCACATGATATACACTTCAAGTCTGGACTCACTTTTTATTGTAAGCAAACAGTAATAAGCATCTTATCCAAATGATATGTCAAGTTGTTTATCTAGGCAGTAAATGTTTATTTGTTCCAGAAACACTAACATTACAATCAACACAAATGAACAAAGAGAAAATCCACTGTGACTTGATGTGTGTTCACTAATCCCCTTTCTAAATCTCTGCTGGATGAAGTCTAGTATTTACAGTCACCATCCAATACATAGTTTATCTAATCAGTCCTTCAATAAATTAAAGAGGTGCTGCAGAGAGAAGTCAGGAAACAAACCTGTGTTCCTCTGATGGTCTTCATTTAACTTATGAATTAATAAACATGCAAATTACATGTTTTTTATTAACTGAAATGTTGGTGGCCCATTAATTGTTTTTTTGCAGTGGGGCCCACAAGATCCTAGTTACATCAATAGTGTGCTTAAGTGATGTTAAATAAATGAGTAAATAATTCATGTAAATAAATCCTGTCACAACACAAACGTTTTAATTTAGATGATGTAAGCTTTTTTTTTTAATTTTCCATCCCACCTTAAATGGCACCACAGTTATGTTCTGTTGCCCACAAGGCTTTCGTATGTGACTGCTGTGCCATTTAAAGAGGAATGGAAAATATGAATGAGAAGCTGGTGAAGAGGAAGTTAACTTCAGCTCTATGAGGTCGTGTGTTGTGTGCGCTTTATGTGTGTAGAGGTGTGTATTAATGATGGGTTGAGCGTTGTTTAAACATGTTGTTTAAGATGTGTTTGCTTCTAGAGTTCCCTGTGTATCTCATGTCAACGTTATCATTTTCTTCACTCAAAAAACAATAAATATAACAGGCCTCTTTTCTGGGTCTGGGTCAAAAAATCTTCTAGGTTCTGGACATTGGACTCCCTAAAATGGTCACCTGGCAACCCCATTTATACGGTCCAAGAACCACCACTGCAGCAAACATTTCTTGGCTGGTCAATTACATTTGAGGTAAGTGGGGCAGTAAAGTTATCCTTCACCTCAGTGCTATCAACAAATGATAAAAGTGCAGAAACTCTTCTGTGGACCAAAACTGAACAAAGAGGTGTCACAGATTCCTTTTGTCCCTCTGCGAGTGTCTTTCTTCCCCTCTGTTGTAGCCAGGTGCCTTTTTGTTTTCTTGTGCCATGTGCTTTTGTTGTTGTTCTCTATCTCCTCCCTGGTCCTGCCCCCTTGTTATCTGTTCCACCTGTCTGTGCTCTGCCCCTCATTAGTCCCAGGTGTTTCTCGTTTCCCCTCTGTGTCTATATACCCTGTTGTGGTCTCTTGTGTAGTTCTGGTTTACTTTGTTTAAGGATTTATCTGTTCCACTCATCTCTGGCTCTGTGTTTTTGGACTTTGAATCTCCTTTAAATAAAAGCAACTCACACTTGCATCCTGCCTCAATGCCTCCTACGTTACAAGAGGCTTAAAAACAAATTCAGTGAGACAAACTTTTATTCACAAAATTCTGTTCAGGATCCAAAAGCAAAGGAAAACAGGTTATATAAAAACATGTAAATATACACTAAACAGTTAATGAGAATGAACATTTTAGTCATTTGTAAAATTACATTTAAAGTTATTCTAAATACAATCAAGTATGATGGGGATGAATAAACATTATAATAACCATAAACAGATTTAAAACTTAGAAACAAAATATCATATCATATTCATATTGCTTCAGACATAAAACAGCGAAATGATATAAGACAAAAACAAACCATTCCAAACATTTAAATGAACTCAGAGCAGTGTGTATAAAATCTGATCTTTAGCCTGATTCAGATGGGATTAAATGTACATGAGGTTTTGGAGTAATTTCCTCTCTTACAGCTACTGTCTGATTTTATTTCTATCCAGACTGGCAATGTATGGTTTTCTCTACTACTCCACTGAGAAAATGATAAGATGAATGATCTTTCAGTTTTCTGTGATCATTTGATCATGTGTGACACAAACATCCAGGTTAGTAGAAAATACAACTCACTATAAACTCCTGCTGTATTTTTATTTATTTATTTATTTTTTTGCTGTCCAGATGCAAGAGTTTCATCACTGAGGAGACGTATAGAAATAGTATTACAGACGTCCCCCTGATAAACTAATCTAAGCCTAACAGGGTTTTTATGTATGTAAGGACTGATTTCAGTTATAATGGAGGCTAATCTGAGTGTAATTGAGGGGGTTTCTATGGTGAGGGTCTCTGTAAATTTTCATAATCTGTGGCTGGAGCTCGTCTCTGATGCTCACTGTGAAGCCTTCACACCCTGAAAAACACACAGCGGAGAACAACATTTAAACACACTCAACTCACACACATAAACACACACTCAGTGTAGGTACTGAAGACTTACTGTCAGAGTGTCGTAATCAGAGCTCATGGTTTCAGGGTTTAAGGCTGTGTCACTGGGAGAGTCTGTAAGATGGTGGAAGAGAAAAAAAACATTAAAAAAGCTTCTAGAACTAAAAACACTAACCAGGAGAACAAACACACACACACACACACACACACTAGACTTACATGTAGAGTGTCATAATCTGAGGTCATGGTGGTGGGATTCAGAGCTGTGTATGTGTGGTCTGCAGGATCTGGAGTCTTTTAGAGAGATGAGGAGAACAACTTCAGTCTTTATTCAGTAGCAGCTTTATAGGAGTATGTAGACAGAGAAAGAGTGAAATCCTCTCTCAGTACCTGAATATCTGTGTCTCTCTCTGCTCCTCTCTTCCTTCTGATCACATAGAACCTCCACAGAGCTGCTGTGATGAGTATTAGAGCCAGAAAGACCACCACTCCCACTGTGACCAGCTTTAACACTGAACTCTCCTCTGGAACCAGAAGACCTTCAGAAATAAATCATGAGTTAAATTACTGCAGGAAAGATGAGAAATGTGAAAATGATTCTCTCTCACTCTGTCTGACAGTGGAGGAAATAACCATGATTTATGCCATAAGTGCTTCAGGAATGAAGGACGTGAATGTGAGAGATGTTTCTAACACAGCTTAAGTCAAATAAATCAGTCTCAAATATACAGAAGTCTTCATTGTTACTTAATTGTGAAAATAAATATTACAAAATAAATGCTGCAATGACATTTTTAACATAAATACACTTTATGGCCAAAACTATGTGATCACCTGACACCTGATCATAACATCCTTATGGGCTTGTTTTGATCCCATTCCAAAACCATGGGCATCAAAATGGAGTGGGCCCCATTTTTGTGGTTAAAACAGAAAGGTTTTCCACAAGATTTTGGAGTGTGTCTGTCAGAATTTGTGCCCATTCAGTCAAAAGAGCATTTGTGAGTTCAGGCACTAATGTTGGACGAGAAGGCCTGGCTTGCAACTGATGTTCCAATTCATCCCAAAGGTGTCCAGTGGGATTGAGGTCAGGGCTCTGTGTACAGGTGCACGGTCATGCTGGACCAGAAAAGGGTCTTCCCAAAACTGTTGCCACAAAGTTAGAAGCATATTATTGTCTAAAATGCCTTTGTATGCTGTAGCATTAACATCACCCTTCACTGGAGTTAAGGGGCCCTAACAGCCCCAGACCATCCCTCCTTCACCAAACTTTACTGCTGGCACTAAGCTTTCTTGATAGGTAACGTTCTCCTGGCATCTACCACACCCTGATTCATCTATCAGACTGCCAGATACTGAAGGGTGATTCATCACTCAAGAGAACATGTTTCCACCGCTCAAGAGTCCACTGGTGATCTTAGACTTGTGAGCAGCTGCCTGACCACAGAAATCCATTTCATGGAGCTCCTGATGCACAGGTCTTCTGCTGATGTTGGACTTTAGAACTCTGTGGTGAATTATGCAATAGAGGAATTTCTATGCACTATGTGCTTTAGCACTCAGTGGCACCACTCTGCAAGTTTGCGTGATCGATTTAACAGGGCAGAAATATTATGAATTGACTTTTGGCAAAGTTGGCATCCTTTGACTGTACCACATTAAAAGTCGCTGAGCTCTAGTACGGCCCTTTCTACTGCCAATGCTGTCTATAGGGATTGCATGGATATGTGCTTGATTTTATACACCTGTTAGTAATGAGTGTGGCTAAAACACTAGAACTCAATCATTTCTCCCATTTTCTCTTATAACTAGCCCAGTTAGGTGTAAACATATACAGTAGAAACAAAGAATACAAGAAAAAAAAAAAAACTGAAGTGTGCACAGTTACCTGTAACTTTCAGAGTGACTCCAGGTGATCCAGTAAATGTCTCTCCAGACTGAGTGCTGAACTGAAAGCGATATTCTCCAGAGTCTCTCTCTCTCACACGTCTCATTCTCAGAGTGCAGTTTCTCTCCTTATCTCCAATAAACTCCACTCGACCAGCAAACTGCTCTTCCTCACTCAGCTCCTCTGACTCCACTTCAGGCCGAAAGTAAAACCAGAAAGCTTTATTAACTCTCTCAGCTTTGGAATGTGAGTAAGTGCAGAGAAAATCCACTGATAAACCCTCCACAGCATCGATCTGTCTTTCTGAGTAACTCACATTCATCTCAGAGTCCTCTTTAAAAACATCTGTAAGAAACACAAATCACTGCTGTTATATGTGATCAGTTTATGAATAATCAGGAGAGAAAATCTTTGTATTGAGCTGCACTTCACTCACCGACTGCAGAGGATCTGAGTTGCTCATGGCTGCTAACAGAGCAGGAGTAACTGCCAGCATCAGCTCTGCTGGATAAAACGAGAGGTGGAGGATTATTGTAAGGTGTGAATCTGTTTATATATTCTGAATTTTTGTACCAGTAGTAGAAATCAGGTTCAAAGGTCAGACTGCAGGAAGTGCTACAGGTGAGAGTCACTTCCTGTCCACTCTGGCTCATCTTTAGCTGCAGATCTGAATCAAGATAATCAAGACAATTCATTACAAGATTATCTAAATATTTAAAGTCTAATTTTGGTGTTATAATTTAACTGTTTTAATACCTCCTACTGTTACTGTAACTGCAGGACTGGAGTATCGCTGGCCTTGTTCTGTGATGATCATGAGCTGATATTCTCCTGAGTCTCTCTCTCTCAGCTCTCTGATTGTAAGAGTTGATTTGGAGTCTGTGCTCTCAGTGTTCACTCGTCCTGTGTAGTCTGAGTCTGAAGCTAAATCCTCTGGATGTTCTTCATTCCTCCATTTATCTTTCTGTTTGAAGCTGAACCAGAAGACAGTTTTCATGTTTTTTGAGTAAGAGCATATCAGCTCGACCTCTGACCCCCGTAGAGCACAGATAGCCTGAGGACTGCAGGGCAGACTGAAACTCTCACTCAGACAACCTGAAACAGAGCATTATTGGAGAAAGCTTTTTTTGTATTACATTATGAATTACATTATTGTGATATTAGTATTAATTATTCACTTTCCTATCTACGTTAGATGGAGATGGGTTTCAGGTTCTGCTACATTATGTGTAATGAGTGGTATTTCTGTAACCCTCCTTAAACTCCAGTTGTGTCAGATATGAGACTGAGGATCAGTGGGATTTGGGGGAGGAATAACAGGGGAATTGATCCAATTTAACCAATTTGTGAAATACAAACAGGCAGGAAGTATTAAAGACAAGATGCAGATGTAACACATTGTTACTCTCCTATTATTTATTTTTGGAGCCAATCAAGTGTTTTGTTTTGGAGTTATACATGACCCTGTGGTGTCACTGTGCAGCAGCCATTTTAGAAGTCACCACTAAACTTCTATGAAGGGTCCACGAAAGAAGACATCTGGTAACCAAACTTGGTAAATATTGATAAGCATTATAAAATGAATTACTATGAAGTTTTTACATGTTTATATTAACTTTATAATAAATTACAGTGGTCAATTCACCATTGTTGTTCCTAACAAGCCCACTAAGGCTAGAAACCATTGTATCTCCTTAAAAAAACTTCATTCATTTTGAACACAGTTTTCATAAATGAACTTAACTGCTTACTTTATTTTCACTGTAAGGAGAAACAACAGCTGTAATAAATACAGTGTTTAAACACTGTTTAAATTTGCTTAATGCTGTCTAAATTCATTTATGAATTACAGTTACAGATAGCCTGCTAGTCAGCGCGTAGTCATTTATTCTCTAAGGTTATGCAACTGAGAGTGTGCTGGACAGCATTCTGAAGTAGTAGAGCTCTACTTTAGACTGCACCTGGTTTTAAGTGTATTCACATTTTAGCATTGTCTAGCTTAAACATGCACTGTTGAAGCTCATAACAGACAATCAAGTAGCACTTTGGATGTTGGAGTTTTGCAGTCTTACAGTTGATATCATTTGGCACAGTATGATAGTATTGAGGCACCAGTCCAACTTTTACAGACAGAAATTGAAGCAGAAAAGATGCTGACTACAACAGGGCAGTGATCAAAAACATACTTCAAAATCCACCATGAGCTATTAAAGATGGTGAATCAGTGCTTTAGTGTAAGCACAGAAATTCAGTAGAGACAGAATAATCCTACCTGAAACACACAGCAGGATGATGAGTGATAACATCCCACATTCAGAGCTCATGATTCCACCTTTACTGTAAAATAGACACAGAATAATGTCTTTGTGTAGTTCAGTACATGAATGTGATGTTTCTTACTGAGGAAACTGAAACACTCATTATAGGTTTATAGATACATCATCTCAACTTTTACAGTCTGATGGTAAAACTTAACAGTCAAACATTTAAGATGAAAATCTTTACTACTTACTTTCTTCTGTAGAGTCTTCTCAGAGCTGTGTAACTGAGTGGACAGTGCAGAGTGTGTGAGGATGGAATGAGTGTTCAGTGTTTCATGCAGTGTTTTTTCCTTCCCTTTTTCTGTGCACTCACAGTTCACATTAACAGTCACTATAAATGTTCTTATATAGGATCTTATTAATGTGCTGTTGTGCGCAGTCTGTACTTTTAGTCCTCTGAGTGTGTCAAGCAGCATTTCTCCTATAGTGTGGCTTCCTGTAGTTGTGACATCGCACACGTAAACCCACACAATTACTCAATCCAAAATTACTCTGTCACCAAACATTGGACTCTTCTTTTTTCATTGTGTTGTTGGTGTTGGGTAATTTGACGTTGTAATTAAAAATAGGTTTTAAGGAAAAAACATAAAAACACCAAACATTTCAGATATTTATAGTAAATAGCATTTCCAAACAACCTTCCACAGTAGATAATAAAAACATTTTAAAAACTATTTCCACTCCCAGGTCAGTGCTGGTTATTCCTATATGCAAACTATAGCTCCATGGTAAGCATGTCAGCATACATTTTATAGTTATTTATCAGAAAAACTTGTTATACATTCCATAAAATCACAAGATGTCCCAATAGGCCTAAACAATCTGTGACATTCACATGAATGTGTGACTGGTCATGTCAAGCCTAACAAAGTGCTAGATCATTTTTCTGTTATCCAAATGTCTGTAGTAGCTGTGGCAGACCTGACTGGATGACTCTGAAGCACCATCACACATCAGGGGCGAAAAAAAGTGCTGACAGTGAGACAACAAGGTGCAGGAAGCTATGTGTTGTATTGCACACATAAGTCATAATTATGGTCTCTCGTCTCACTGAAGGGTGAGTGAGTGAATGTTTAGTTCACAAAAGGATCAGGCGACTTAGCTTTTCATCATCAGGTGAATTTGACACTGCAAATACAAACTACAAACTAGAGTCATTTGTGTTCCAGTCAGAGTGTTGCAGGCACACAGCTTCCTATAGAGGTATAATGTATTATTTGTGAGCAGGACATTCAGACTGCAAGTCACATGACGCAGACCAGTCCACACCAAACTCTAATATGCAGACAGCACTGCCTTCATGCTAAATAACTTTTTCTAAAATCTATGCGTTTTGATCTTCTTCATTTCTTATTCTTATGGATTATTTATATGCTACACTGAGATAAACAAAGAGGCCAGATAATGATGAAATAAAAAGTGGTGAAAGCTTTTTATCTTCAGTGTGACATAATCATGACAGTCAACAAGCTACAAACGATTGCTAGCTAAGTAAGTTAAGGTCAACATTTTTCACTGTCCACCTGCTTGGATATGACCTCATGCCACCTTGTTTTTTGCGTGTTTACTTTTTTGACAACTAGTTTATTGTTAGCAAACTGTTTCAACATCTCCAGCTGACATGGCTAATCTAGCTTTTGGCTATAGTTGTTTTCACCTATTCATCGATTTATCGCTCTGTACACGTTAGCAGACATTATTGTACTCTGATAGCTGTGAAGGAATTCTTCAACAAAGAACTAATGAATTTTATTCAGCTTGGACTCCCACACTGTTGTGTTTTTGGTGGGCTTCAACAATTCTGGACACATCCTCAAATTTGAGTCTTGACAACTATGATAAAAATAAAGTGACACACTTTTCCATGCTGAGCTGAAGTGATACTAATGCCAGTGTTTCTGAGATTAATAATCATCTGAAAGGCAATACTGGAATTTGTTTTACCCACTGTTTACATATTCCATTTCCTGAGAAAAGGGATTATTGCTGTGAAATATGTTGCTAAGAAGGGTACGCCGCCTCAGAAATCCACCCCAAATTCCTCTAGCGCATGCTCTTTTAACATCTTCAGTAAAATCAATAACACAAGCAAAACAAGCTAGCTAGAGACACAACATCATAAGCAAATGGAACTGCTTTTGTTCCAGCGGCATGGCGGGTAGCTGCAGCGGCCACTTCGGGAACAGCAAAACGGTGCTTTTTTTGCTGTTTTTTGTCTACTATCTGTCGTGTAACCCGACCAAACTATATATCATGACTGCGTCAACCAGCACCAGCGTCTACCATCGCCAGAGTCTGCTACAGCTGAGAAATCAGCCACAATCTCAATCTCTACTTCCAATCGAACTGCGGGAAGAGCTGCGCGAGCTAGGCCTGCTAAGATCCACAGCGCTGCGTGAGCCTGCTGGATGAAAGCGATGCATGAGAAGGCAGAAGCAAGGCAAGCAAGGCGGGGTGTGTGCTAGGCTAATGGCTAACCCCAGACAACCAGCCGTTCCATCGCTTCTTCTATCGAACATTTGTTCCTTGGAGAATAAACTGGACTACCTCCGGATTCAGCGGGCTACCCAGCATGAGTTCAGAGACTGCTGTGTTTTTGTTTTTACGTAGACATGGATGACGAGCTCAACTCCGGATTTAGCCGTTCAGCTCGACGACCTGTTGTGCTTCCGTGCGGACAGAGACGCTGAGCTGTACGGTAAGACTCGAGGTGGGGGACTGTGTGTTTACATCAACACTGAATGGTGTAGAAACGCGGCGCTAGTCTCTAGTCACTGCTCACCACTGGTGGAGTTTGTGATTGTCAGAGGCCATTTTACTTGCCAAGAGAGCTAAATATGCTGTTCATAGTAGCGGTGTACATAGCTCCCAGTGCTAATGCTAACGCCGCACTCAACGAGCTGTACAGCACTATCAGCGATCTGCAAAAGTCAGTACTCCCCAAATTTCACCAGTATGTGGACTTTGCAACCCGGGGGGCTAACGTGCTGGATCTTGTTTACATAAA